CCGTGAGCTTCGTATATTATTATACAGATCGCCAAATTCAGAAATTTTCTGAATTGTTAGCTTCGTATATTATACAGAGGGCAAAATTCAGAAATTTTCTGAATTTTCAGCATCGTATATTATTTATTGTACAGATTGTCAAATTCAGAAATTTTCTGGATTTTCAGCATCGTATATTAATTATTATATAGATCGCCAAATTCAGAAATTTTCTGAATTGATAGCTTTGTATATTATACATATCGCCAAATCTGTGTGCATATATTTCTGAATTGATAGCTTCGTATATTATACAGATCGGCAAATTCAGAAATTTTCTGAATTGTGACATCTGTGCATTTACATTATACAGATCGCCAAATTCAGAAAATTTCTGAATTGTGAGCTTCGTGTATTATACAGATCGCCAAATTCAGAAATGTTCTGAATCTCAGATTCCTTTAATTTGTGGTTACTTTTAAGTTTTAATGTACAATCTGTCAAAAACAAAACTGATGAATTGCGGGAATACATATTATGATAATGATCTTGACATTTTTGTTTTAACTGAAACGTGGTTAAAGTCAACAGATAACTTTGCAATAGACCAACTCATCCCTGAAAATTACGATTTTTCACTTGCTAACAGAGAATGTAGGAATGGGGGTGGTATCGCCGTTGTCCACAGAAAGTCTATTACGTCATCTATACTCAATCCATCAAAATATAACAGCTTTGGGATCTTGCAGCTGAGATTTCAGTGCAAAAGTGAAATTATCCATCTTGTGGTAGTTTATCAGCCTCCAGCATCAAAAAATAACATATCTAACTTTGGGAAATTTCTCGAAGAATTTTGTGATCTACTCCATGTGTTGTCTTCTGTGTCGGGGCGTTTAGTTATTGTTGGGGATTTCAATATTCACCTAGATATCCCACTTGACAAACATACAAAGAAATTCACTGAACTTCTCAACGCATTTAATCTTACTCAGCATACCCTAGACATTATTATTACGAGAATCAATGATAATTTACTAAATTCCATTCATGTTAAAAATGACTTGATATCCGATCATTACAGTGTTTTCGCTAAACTGGCGCTTTATAAACCTGGACCAATAAAACGCACTATATCTTTCCGAAAAACTAGAAACATTGATATAGAGCAATTCAAAGTCGGCATGACTTGTGAGCAGTTTTATGAACAGATCAAAGAACATGATAATATTCATCATAAGATTGAACAATATAATAACATTCTTATTAAATTATTAGATAAACATGCACCGGTTCAAACTAAAAGTATAACTATCAGATCAAATAGAAATTGGTTTAATGATGAAATTCAGAAATATAAACAGAAGAAAAGGAAAGCGGAAAAACAGTGGCGAAAATCAAATCTAGAAATACCCAGGTAAATATATATAAAATGTAGAAATGAGACTAACACTACAATAAGAAATGCAAAACATCGCCATGTTATGAACAGTATTCTTGAGGATCGTGGTAATACCCGTGAAATTCACAAGATTATCAATAGAATTCTAAGTAAAGAAGAGACAGAACAGACTCTCCCCGTAAATCGGGACTCTCAAGTTTTTGGCAAATGATTTTGTTATTTTTTTCACAGCAAAAGTTGATAATATACGATCAGGTCTTGGAACAATTCCACTCGCTGACTCTCAGAATAGTAATACCATGGACCGTAATACTTACTCTGGCGTGCAACTCTCACAATTTAGATCCGTATCTAATCTGGATATAAATAAGATCATCAAAGCATCGTCATCAGCATCGTGCACTCTAGACCCCATTCCCACTTGGCTACTAAAACAGTGTCTTGACGTGATGGTCCCAGCCATTACGGATATTGTAAATTCCTCTTTGGCTTCTGGCTGTATGTCGGAGGTTCTGAAAGAGGCGTTAGTGTTTCCGCTACTAAAAAGCCCAACCTTGATAAAGAATTACTAAAGAATTACAGACCGGTTTCTAATCTTTCATTTCCTTTAAAAATTATTGAGAAAGCTGTTGCATCCGAATTTAAAAGACATTTGTATAATAATAACCTCAACGAAATATTCCAATCTGCATATAGAAAACAACACAGCACAGCACTGAAACCGCCTTATTACGTGTTCAAAATGACTTACTAAACGAAATGGATAAGAAACAAACATCGGTACTAGTCCTGCTTGATCTAAGTGCTGCTTTTGACACGATAGACCACCAAATTCTTTTTAAAAGATTGCTGAACATCTTTGGTGTTAGTGGACATGGTTCCAGTCATACCTTGAAAAGCGTACACAGACAGTTGTTATCAAAGGTTCCCCATCCAATTAAATCAACGGTTTTAAAGTATGGCGTGCCACAGGGTTCCGTTCTCGATCCTTTATTATTTACCACATACACAACATCTTTATTAAATGTCATTCGTAAACACGGTCTTAACTACCATCTGTACGCCCACGACACTCAAATTTATATAGCCTTTGAACCTTCTTCTGAACTATCTGAGATATGCAAACTTGAGGCCTGTTTATCAGATATTTGTAAATGGGTGGACTCAAATTTATTAAACTCAACGATGACAAAACAGAAATAATGAAAGTCGGCAGCAACTATTAAAATCTAAAACAGAAAACTATCAAATTGGCAATATCTCTATTACACCAACAGATTCTGTAAAAAAAAAATCTTGGTGTTTATTTTGACTCTCGTCTGGACATGAATAGACAAATTTCGGCCATGTGTAAAAATATTAATTTTCAGATTTAAAATATTGGAAAAATTAGATCTTTCATTAATAGTGACACGACTAAAATGCTGGTAAACACTATGGTTACATCAAGACTCGACTACTGTAATTCACTTTTGTACAATCTACCTGAAATAAAATCAAACGACTTCCGAAACTTCATAACCAAGACGAAACCAAATGAACATATGACACCAATTCTGAAAGATCTCCATTGGCTTCCAGTCCGTCAACGTATCAATTTTAAAATACTGTCTATTACATATTCTGCTCTAAATGACGATTCTTCACCTCAATACCTTAGAGACCTTCTCAACACCAATAAACCTTGCAGAACCCTTCGATCACAATCAGACAACCTCTTAATTAAGCCTTTTTCAAAAAGCAACTCTGGTGATAGATCTTTCGCCGTCGGTGCTCCGAAGTTATGGAATTCAATATCAAACGAAACCAAAGGCGCAAATTATATTAAAGGTTTAAAAAGTATCTCAAAACAGAACTTTTTTTACAAACACAGCTAGAACCTTATTCAATCAGTTATGATTAAAATCATATATACAACTGATTGAATACGGTTCTAGCTGTGTTTGTGTCAGATTTTTACCATGTGTACTAAATAATGTTCTCCGTTTTTTTGTTTATGTCCTTTTTATGGATTAATGTGCTGTGATTGTTGTAATTTTATATTAGTTGTACTTATGCAAAGCGCCCGATAGCAGCTCACTAAGTTGAATTGTTGGCGCTATATAAATCAATTATTTATTTAATTGTAAGCATCGTAGAGATCGCCAAATTCAGAAATTATCTGAATTGTGAGCATCGTATATTATACAGATCGCCAAATGCAGAAATTTTCTGAATTGTGAACTTTGTATATTATTATACAGATCGCCAAATTCAGAAATTTTCTGAATTGTCGGTTTCGTTGGCCTATATTATACAGATCACCAAATTTAGAAATTTTCTGAATTGCGACATCTGTGCATATTATATAGATCGCCAAATTCAGAAAATTTTCTTTTTATTAGTACAGATAATTAAATATAGAAAATTTCTGAATTTATAATTGCCCCGTTCTACTAAAATAACCATAAAAAGTTATAAATTTACAGTACGTTACCTATTTCCTTTGCTTCATTCCCAAACAAAGTCTTTTTCTTTTTCTTTTTACACAGGCCTATATATTTTGAAGCCGTTAGAAATTCGTGTATATTTATGATTTGTTCGATTTGTTCAACAGTTTCCACTAGAGAAGAGTTTGGCCTGAATCATCATCAGGAAGTCTGGAAATAGACATACCGCCAATAGTAGGCCTTATACTGAATACATTTTATTGTTCCACTAGTTCCAGTATATAATTTTTTTTATATAAAGTGTGCTTTGAGTTGTGTTCTTCCTACTGTGATAGTGTGATTAATATTATTAATAAATTAAGAAAGGAGACCACATAAAACTCATCATTAGTATTATTAGGCACGCTACCATGGACCAAGGAGTTAGGACAGGTTAAATTTTCGCCATTTTTTCGACAATGAATTTTTTTAAAATCGGTTATTATAAGCCGGCTATAGCCTAGGACCTGTAGCAGACGCCCTACATTGATGCTTGCGGTGATGAATTAAAAATGCTGTTAGTATTAGGCTAACCACTACTAGTGGCACCATACCGGTATAGTATAGCCTAGGTTAGTATAGGCCTAGCCATAGGCGTACGGGGCAGGGGGGGGGGGGGCAGCTGCCCCCCTAACTTTCGGGCAAGCTGACTTTTCGTGCATACGGGTAAAGTTAAATAAAAAATTTATTTCATCTACTTGGCAAAATAAAGTGCCCGAAATCTAATAAAACACTAATTTTACGGGCTGGAATAGCAGTAAAACGCGTTTGCCGCCGTCAAATATTCCAAATTTTTTCTTGGGGGGTCCTTACAAGGTCAGCTCCGCTTCTTCGCCGCTCGAAGAAAACCGGCGCCGCTGTCTGTAAACCTGAAATTTTTAGGGCATTTCTAGTTTTGCTTCCCTAACTGTCATCGAGCCTTAATAAAACACTCATTTTACTTAGCTTTAAATTGAATACCACAAATTTGTACTGAGTTAACTATGGATTAAAACATTTTGTCTGGAGCCACTCTACTTTGTGCGACATTTTTCGGGCATCGATTATTATTTGTGAATGCAGTTGCAACAGTCTGATTGGATGGTTGGAATTCAGAATGGGATTTGAGTTACAAAACCATTGGATACTTTTGGAGTTGCTTACACTGGCTAGAATAGCAGAAAACGCATATGCGGTGGTTAAATTTTCAAAATTTTCTCCGTGAGGGTGAGGCCCCCATACCCCGCGACGATTGATTGGTTGTTTGGAATTCGGGTCAGCCAGGTGGGCTATATTGGACCAAGTTGATGTTCCGTCTTCGTGGACTGTAAACGAATGATCTTTTGATTGGAATTCGAGTCAGCCATCTTAATTAGGCTATAATAGACCACTTTGAAGTTGCTTTGTTCACGGGCTGAAATAGCAGGAAAACGTGTTTGCAGCCGTCAAAAATGTACCTCTTTCTTTTCGGTGACATTTTAGACCCTGGCATTAAAAATTTTATCATTACTGATCGTCTGAACCGATTGAATTTCGTGGGAAAAATCAAACCAAACACTCGGTCAACCAAAGAACTCCGAATGCACGGGCCGCTTATATCAAGGTAAAGAAATGTGCAGGACCGTCTCCGATCTAACGATCTCCTTTCATTAACTAACTTTTTTGACTGGAATTACGGGTACGGTAACTACGTTGGGTAAGTATTTTGTTTATATTTTCATGTTTGATGTGACTCCCATTTTTGTGTTATAGGTTTTAATTTTAAATACCCCACCCTAACCCAAATCCTAACCCTAATAGAAAGTAGGAAGTTCCGTGTGGACACAGTACGGACGGCTAACCCGAACCGCTGGTTTTTCGGTGTAAAAGTGATGGAAATACTCAAATAGAGAAGGGAGTCGGATCAAACATGATCGCCGTATTCTGTTATAAAACAGATAATAATTATTTACCCACAACTGCCAGCCAAGAAAGAGATAAATACATAAATGGCTAATAATTCCAGCGAGACAGATGAGAACCAATGTTATGTAGAGCAAGACGGAAGGCATCCGTGAGTAGGACGCCGAAACCAACTTGATTCGGACCATCACCATGGCTAATTCGGACCATAAAAAAAATACTAGAAACTGGGATTTGATTAAGTTTATTTATTATATATTGTGTGTGTAATTACATGTTAAACTAGAATTGCGATACAGTAATGACAGGTTTCACCGCGGGTAGACTAATCACTGGAATTCACATTTACAATCACCGGAATTCACTTCGGAAATCCCTGATTCCTCCTACACAACTAATTTATTTTAAATGTATAATACATTATAATATAATGAATAACTATTTTGATCTCTCCATAGGCCGGATGAAGGCACTGTTGTTAAGTGTATTTATTTGAAAGACTACCAGAATTCATTAAAAATATATGCATCATGATTATGATAACGAAGGGTGCGTCGAATTACCCAATAACTCCAAAATAACACCAAATTACTCCAAAAATGTTGACTGGAAACACAAAATAAAAATTTAGTTGAATTTAAGAAGCCGCTCTGGTTTGTGCTCAAATCGGAGGTTCATGGAGATAACTCGTGTATGTGATAATGCCAAAAGTTATCATCCAATTATTTTAAAATTGATATATGTTGTTTACATTAGTGAGATGAAGAACCCTATTTAATTTCAATAATTTCCGTTTATTACGTCTAGAGTTATGGCCCTTGTTTCACTTTGTTGAACCTTGTGAACGCTCTAATGCCAAAAGTTAACATCAGACCTTTGTGAAATTTATATGCAATATTTAAGTTAGTGAAACGAAGAAGCCTATTGAATTTCAGCAATTTCCGTTTATTACATCTAGAGTTATGGCCCTTGTTTCACTTTATTGAACCTTGTGAACGCTCTAACGCCAAAAATGATCATCCGATCTTTCTGAAATTTATATACATGATTTAAATTAGTGACACGAAGAAGCCTATTGAATTTCAGCAATTTCCGTTTATTACATCTAGAATTATAACCCTTGTTTCACTTTATTGAACCTTGTGAACGCTCTAACTCCAAAAGTTATCATCCGATCTTTCTGAAATTTATATGCATTATTTAAATGAGTGAAACGAAGAAGCCTATTGAATTTCAGCAATTTCCGTTTATTACGTCTAGAGTTATGACCCTTGTTTCACTTTATTGAACCTTTTCAGAAATTATATGCATTATTTAAATTAGTGATATTTTTTTATTGGAAAGAGCATATCATATTCATTGTGTGTACAAATTGTAATGAAGACTCAACAAAAGGAAGTGGGTCAAATGAAGCCATCTTTCGCCGCCAATTTCCCGTCGGTAGTGTTTCTCTTAATCAAAAACTTACATGTAAGTCAGTGCCAGATTAACCATAAGGCAAATAAGGCACATGCCTTAGGACCAGTCAAAAATCCAGGCCACAAAATTAAAATAAAAAAAGTTGTAATCTAGCTGACATTTACAATTCGTGCAAAAATCTTCATCTTAGCCTGACCCAAATTTAAATGCGTTTCGTCGGAACCAAATTGCGAAATATCTTAAGTAATACAGAAACTACACATATTATACACACCAAATTACCAAATAATTATTGTCTAGAGGCTAAACATCAAAGAATATATTTTCAGAAACCAATGTTCCTCGATTAATAACTCGAATATAAATGGATTCAAAGTTACCTTGATTCCACCTCCTAGTAGCACAACAAGTTGTAACCAAAATATTGAGCTGCTAAAGAGGATTTTAATGTGTTTTCTTGATAATGATACACATTTCCCACTAAATAAAATTTAAAAAAAACCCACATACATGTACCAGTTGAAAGTACCACCCGGCATTGGCGGATTACACAAAATTCTCAAATGTAAGCCGCAACACGGGCTCACCATGGATTGAAGGGGCCCCAATGTCCAGGACTGAAAATCCAATGGTAAGGTGACCCACCATAAATAAATATCTCCATATATCTCGACAATTACGCCACAATACTTATATATATGCCAAGCCTCAAATCAGTTCCACACAATTATAGTCACTAAATAAACGATCATGTTGTACTTAATAAGCTATGGCCATTAATCACGTATAAATAATAGACTGAAAACTGGTTCCAAGAGTCGTCCATAACATCCAGACACTTTTGAGTAAAAGATAGGTTACGTGCCCTTGTTTTGAAATTAGTCTCGCTTAACCAGTCTATCGACCATTCTACGTCTGATTGACAGGTCGGGATAATCAAGACTACTTTTTTACGAAACATAACAGAAAGCTAGAACAAGAAATTGAATTTAGAAATAAGCACGTTAGGTAGCTCAACAATCGTTTTAAGAAGCTTGTAAAAGTAAAATGAAACTACTGCTAGTATCATGTTCTTGCCTAACCTGAGTGTTTCAGAGATATTATTTGTACTAAACCAAAAGATGCCGCTCTTAACGGTACAGTTAATGATAAAGCGATTTAAAAAATGAAACGAACGTAATTTCTAAATCTGCTGTAATAACCAAGAAGCTTAATTTTACTGCTATTCAAAATCGTCAACAATAAATTTTTTACGACTGTAATAGTTGATAGATTTGTAGAGAATTGCACGTGCCATGGCTATTTATAGTATCATACTGTCAGAAAGTTGGTCTCGGCACGGCGAATGTGCACGCTTCAGTGGTAGTCTCGAACTATCAGCGGTGGACTGTATTTCTGTGAGTACATGGGCCACCCTACCAATGGAGGGTTCCATTACAAGCACAAGCAGATGAAGTCCTTGGTCCAACCATGCTCACATCGATATTTTGCGCAACTGAGATATTTTTTTGAATGGGGGGTCCCCTGATATGGGGAGCCCTGGGGCCTAGGCCCCACCGTGCCCGTGGTTAATCCAGCACTGTGCACAGATGATTTTTGTGGTAGGAGAAAATCAAGAGTATCCTGACCAAACACACAGTCCGGTACAAACCAGGGATTGAACACATGACTTGCGTATTATAATTTGTAACATGGATGGGAAATCTTCCTTTGTTCTTTTCGTTGAATAAGCAGATTGTTTTCCCTCTAGTACATGTAGATTGGGTGGAGCTTAACCGTGCAACAACTAGACACGTTCAATGTTATTGCACAATTTTGCTGGTTTACACAAGTTTTAGTAGAAATCATATAGAGAAGTGGGTGTGGGTTTTCTGTGCAGTAACAATGCGCGTTGAGCAGGTGTCAATGTCACAAGTCTTTTATAGCACGCTTCATTCGTTAACAGGTGTTTAAAACATCTCGGCCTATGGCCTCTGGTTACACCTGTTAACTCATGAAAGCCGTGCTATAAATATAATATATTAAACCGCTCTGTCACATGCACAGCTGTTGTGCCTGCATGAATTAGAAATTAGATATGGTATAATGTGGAAATTAAGCTTCTCATACATGTATATTTTGGGCGATTTGAGGCGGTCTTAGGATGTCTGTCCAGGGTCTGTTGCGATATCAATATAAAAATCCACAATATACTTCCATTATTGCAATATTTATATTATACGGCTTGAAGACAAAAGGCATCGAAAAGAGGTGGCAAACCCTTCCAACAGATTTCTATGAGAAACATGTACATGTAAATTTAAATCATTGTAAGGTCAAGTTTACATATGTTTCAATAAAATATAATATTCCTTTAAAGAATATTATTAGGGAAAGAGAGATAGAGAAAAGCAATATATTGGATTATTGTCGTATCAAAAAAATTATTGTCAATAAAATTTACATATTCCAATATTGATTTATAAAAGTTATTGTCAAGCTCTAGTTAAACACAAAACTTACTTTAAAGTTACAATTTCATATTTTTAAGTTATATTTTTAAAATGTATTAAAATAAAGCCCTAAAATAGATGGTATCTATAAACAGTCCTACCTTGTTAAAGAATAATCCTATTAATCCTATAATTCACTAAATTGCCAGTTGAGAACTTGGCAAAAATATCATTTTCAACTTCAAATTCAAACGTTTGAAGATAGCTATTCCATGGTGGGGAATAGGAAAACAAGGGAGGTAATTGTGTTATTATTTCCGGTGTGAAGATGTTTAAGTACGTGAGAAAGATAACCTATGATTGATCGTATAATAGTGAGTTGAAAACCTATTGAGCAAAAGACATAGACATAATTATGTTTATCTTTCTTTGAAAATATGAAATTGTAACTTTAATACAGCGCCATTTAATATGGAATTATGTATTACCAATCTGATTTATACTTTGTTTCAATAAAATACAATAATCTTTGAGAGAATATTATTGGAGGAATGGCAAGAATCCAGATATATTGGATTATTGCAGTATTTTCAATGGTAAAAAAAAATATTGTCAATAAAATAAACATATATTGCAATATACTGATTTAATGAAATTATTGCCTAGCCCTAGTGCTGGGATGTATCGGTATTTAATATCACTTTCCTAACTTTCTTCCAGGAAATGGAATAGTCAATATTTAGATGTACAAAGTGCTAATGGGTTAATAAGATTCTAGATTTGGTATCGTATCTGAATCTTCCTTATCCAAATGTACCAAATTTAGATATTGAAATTTGTTCTGAGCAAATGAAAAATTACTTCAAGATTATCCATTGTTGTTGTAAATTTATTTTGTTTCTATATAAAAAAAAGTAACATAGATTAATAGATATATTTTTTATGTGAAATAATTATTTTCAGTTTTTATATGAAATTGACTAAACAGCAAATATATTTGTTTTAAACTTAAAGTTTGTTTTCATAAAATAAAACAAATTCACAATTTAAACAATTTCTAAATAATACAAAAGGCTCCAACAGAGATAACAGTTAAACATCTCAATTAGAAACAGTTAAACATCTCAATTCAAATTTCATTGCTCATCATTAACACTCTCAATTTTATTTAATCATTTCAATTAATTCTCTTGTCCAAATCTGTCCCTTCGATCACAATATGATATTGTCCCATCCCATCTGTCGCAAATCAAAACTCACTGCTGAAAAGTGAAAGTACATTTTAAACTTATTGCTCTCATCCTTGCCCCAGATATTTGTTAATTTACAGGAAACATTAATTAGGGTTTCACAGCTTGTGTGAAACACTATTGTTTTTATTTGGTTTATTTTATATATGAAAGCTTATTGTTTTTGTTAAGATTATTAAGCTTTCATATTTCATATGAAATAACCTTTGGTGTAAATCATCATATTAATAAAGATAGGTTGCCAGGCAACGAAACATACGCCCACAGCAGCTAAATCGTCTGAGCGGTCGACAAGGGTTGTCACATATTTATACCTTTGTAGGACGTAATTGGGGGCCTTTACAAGACAGTTCCATACAGATCAGATTATAATTTTTGTCTTTTGAGGGTTCACAAGGTTTTACAAACTGAAACAAGGGCCTCAACTTTGGAAGTAGTTTACAGAAATTGTTGTAATTCGACAGGCTTTTTCGTTTTAATTTAAATAATGCATATAAATTTCATACAGATCGGTCGATCACTTTTGTCATTCAAACATTTAAGTAAAAGTTTAAACAAGGGTCATAACGCTAGAAATAATTGACGGAAATTGCTGAAATTCAATAGACCTCTGTTTCACAAATTTCAATGATGCATATAAATTTCATACATATCGAATGATAACTTTCATTAATCGAGCATTAACAAGGTTGAACAAAGTGAAACAAGGGCCATAACTCTAGAAGTAATTATTGTAAATTGTTGAAATTCAATAGGCTTCTTCATTTCACTAATTTGAATAATGCATATAAATTTCAGAAAGATCGGATGAAAGCTTTTGGCGTTAGAGCATTCACAAGATTCAACAAAGTGAAACAAGGGCCATAACTCTAGATGTAATGAACGGAAATTGCTGGAATTGAATAGGCTTCTTCGTTTCACTAATTTAAATAATGCAAATAAATTTCAGAAAGATCGGATGATAACTTTTGGCGTTAGAGCGTTCACAAGGTTCAATAAAGTGAAACAAGGGCCATAACTCTAGACGTAATAAACGGAAATTGCTGAAATTCAATAGGCTTCTTCGTATCACTAATTTGAATAATGCATATAAATTTCTGAAAGATCGGTTGATAACTTTTGCCGTTACAGCGTTCACAAGGTTCAATAAAGTGAAACAAGGGTCATAACTCTAGACGTAATGAACGGAAATTGCTGAAATTCAATAGGATTCTTCGTTTCACTAATTTATTAAATAATGCATATAAACTTCACAAAGATCGGATGATAACTTTTGGCGTAATAGCATTCACAAGGTTCAACAAAGTGAAACAAGGGCCATAACTCTAAACGTAATAAACAGAAATTATTGAAATTAAATAGGCTTCTTCATCTCACTAATGTAAACCACATACAATGTATATCAATTTTAAAACAATCAGATAATAGCATTTGGAGTTAGAGCGTTCACAAGAAATTGTGGACGATGGACGGACGGGGGCAATGGCAATATACGTCCACATTTCCATGTGGGTGTATAAAAATGATACGGTCATATAAATATCACAAAATGGTTTCTAACTTGTTTAGTTGCTGGGAAACAGACCATTGGTGCAAAAAAAGTGTCAATTATTATTTGATTTTCATAATTGTTTTACCATGCGATGCCTAATCATTAGGCATCGCATGGTAAAACAATTATGAAAATCAAATAATAATTGCATAAACCTAATTTAACATTTTCATTATAACAGGAAGCAGTGGCGGCGCCAGCCGTCAGTGATTGGAGGGACAAAGTCCAAGGTTAAGGGGGCAAAGGCACGAGCTTTAACTAGGGGTAGGGGGCCTCTCCCAGAAAATTTTGAAAAACAGGTTGCCAGAAGTGCAGCCTGGCAGTATTTCAGTCACTGATCGATGAGATAAAGTGTCAAACGAACGGACTTGAGAATCACGACGAAGCCCACTCAAGAGCGTCAAAGTAGGGAGTCCTCCCTCAGAAAATTTTGAAAAATAGACTGCCGGAAATGCTGTCTTACAGTATTCTGTCAGGCACCGATCGTCGAGATAAATAGATCTGACCAGATACCGTCTGTCGCTTGATCACTAGTTTATCTGACTAGAGAACAAAATGTCAAACGAACGGATTTGCGAACCTCAACGAATTCCCCTTGTGAGCGCCAAAGTAGCAAGTTTATGACTGAGTGGGGATGTGGGATTTATTCACCGTAGAAGGTATTGATTACCGAAATGTATCACAAATACTTTTTTTTTATCTTCTAAAATTATTGGGGGGGGAGGGGGCAAACAGAGGGCAAACCAGATTAATGGGGGGCAAATTCCCCCCCCCCCCTGGCACGGCCACTGACAGGAAGTAATGTCGAGTTTTGAATCGAGGAACATTGGTTTCTGAAAACATATTCTTTGATGTTTAGCCTCTAGTCAATAATTATTTGGTAATTTGGTGTGTATAGTATGTGTAGTTTCCGTATTACTTACGATACATTGTATTTCGCAATTTGGTTCCAACGAAACGCATTTAGATTTTGGTCAGGCTAGGATGACGATTTTTGCGCGAATTGTAAATGTCAGCTAGATTACAATTTTTTTTATTTGAATTTTGTGGCCTGGATTTTTGACTGGTCCTAAGGCATGTGCCTTATTTGCCTAATGGTTAATCCGGCACTGACTTACATGTAAGTGTTTGATAAAGAGAAACACTACCGGCGGGGAAATGGCAACGAAAGATGGCTTCATTTGACCCACTTCCTTTTGTTGAATCTTCATTACAATTTGTACACACAATGAATATGATCAATGATATGCTCTTTTCAATAAAAAAAATATTCTTTTTTCCCTGTCTTGTCTATTGGTGTCGTAAATCAATGCGATCTTTTTGGTTGTGGCAGAGTGACCCTATTCTGAAGTGAAGGATACTGGATGGTTGAAGACCCAAAACAGCAACCTGGAAGTTTATTTGAATAGTGTTTGACTCGTGTTTACACATCTCGTAAAATATGGTTCTTGCAGTGATCGACATTCGTCAAAAATCAACTCCGGTCGGTTATTATGTCGTAATGTTACGGCCTTCGTAGATATGACTCTCTGCATCACGGTCTCCCTGTTATTTATCACTGACCGACTTCAAATTAGGTTTGATGTACAGGTAGTTTCATTTGTGTGGAATAATACTGCCTAAGTTCTGGTCACTTGTGTTAGTTAATCTAGCACTATGTTTTTAAGTCTTTATGCTTAAATCTATGATATTGCATTACTCTTTTAACACTTGGTGTTGATTGTTGTTGTCTTTGTTCAGTACACTTTGTAGGGTTGGCGATAATGGAAAAAAATATTGTGATAATAATTTATCAAATATCGCGATAACCGATATTATCATGATAATTTATTATATGTGTGTCTTAAGAAGTCAAATTTTGAATTATTGTTGCTGCCATAATGGAGAATTGCTCTAGACCAGCTGGTACTTAATAATGCTATTTTTACTGATGAATTTAATTATATCAATAGAATGTCATAGGTAATTATATAGCATTGTAATTTGTATTATCAATATTGGGACAATAATTATCATATTGCGATAATTTTGGTTATCACGATATACCGGTTTTCAGTATTTTTTAGTAAGTCCAATATGATACCAAAAAAACGGTGTATCGCCCAACCCTAACACTTTAACTTTTAATTGTATCAAAAAGTTGTTTTTCACTTTACTTCCAGGTAAAAGATATGGCTGTTAATAGTCTTAAACCATACTGTATTTTGAAAGCTCTGCACTTACTGATTACACCTGGAAATTCAAGTAATTGTATAGAAAATTTTCATTATACACCATTAATCTGTTTTATTGAAACAATTTTTAATACTCCGACATTCAAATGTGGTTGTATATTATTGTCACCCCCGTATATCTGTCTGTCGGGTGCTCTACATGTTCAATAAGACTAAATTGAAAATAAACAGGCTTCTTCAGTTCCGAAACAAAAATACTTGCATGTACTATATATCAATTAAATTTATACACAGTGTTTATCTTCATAAGACGAAGAAGCCTGTTCATTTTCAACAATTTCCCAAATTTACTGTCAAAGTTATTGCCCTTGAACAATTTGTTCAATCTTGTGGCTGCTCCAGAGGGTAAAGTTATCATTTGATTAACTCAAAATTTTAGTGTTTTTGTTCCTAAGACAATTTCTTAATTGTTGTTGTTATGGTACTTGATTAATTTGAAAATTTTTCAGTGCTATTAGCTTGGAACTTGGCGTATGTATTTCTTATAGCCTAAGGGCGGCAACTATTGATTTTGGTGCATGCCCGACCCCCAGGGCAGGGCCACGCCCAATTTTTGCGTTTAGCGCCCGAAGGCCAAATTCTGAATGGATTATCTTGGAACTTTGTATACATATTCCTTATACCCCAAGGATGACAACTATTGATGTTGGGGCATGATCCCCCCCCCCCTTTCGGCGGTGCCACACCCACGTTTTTATGATAATTTGTCTGTAAATGATATACAGTTTGCAATTTGGATCTAATTCAGAATGATCCAGCATAGGGTTGTACCTATTTACTTTGATCCATGTCCAACCCCCAGGTGCAGAGCCACGCCCAATTTTTGTGCTTTTTTGTCTACAGGCAGGAATACTAAATGGATCATCTTGGAACTTAGTATATTTATTCCTTATACTGTAACTGTAAGGATAGCAACAATTTATTTTGGTGCATGTCCCGTCCTCCAGGGGTGTGGTATCACACCCACTTTTTTGTTATTTTTTATCTGTAAATAGTCTACAAGTTGCAGTAATTTACAGATTTTTGTTAAAATTCAGCATCAATTATTTCAATAATAATGGTACTTATTTATATTGTTCTATATCAAACCCCCAGGGACCAAGCCACTCCCAAACGTTCTATTTATCGTCTACAGGCTACAATTCTGCAATTCCATATACCGTAAAGACAGCATGGGTATACAATGTTTTTTCCGTTATTTGTACTATTTTGTGAAAATAGCCCAGATCCTTAATTACCAGAACATGTATCTTTCATTCCTATTATCTTTTAATGTTTATTTGATTAACTTTTTCCTTTTTTATCATTTAACAGATAAAGTCAACTTGGAGGCTGTACTAAGGAATAATATTAAAAATTTGCATGATTATATAGAAGAGAATCCACCTCTGCTCTATTCTTGGGAAAGTAGTACATTTTCATCGCATATCAAAGATACCAGTTTGAGTTGGGAATTTTCAGCAAAATGTCTAAAACTCCTAGATCTCTTACAGATATCCTTTAAACGAGCTGAACAAGAATTTTGCAGTAAAAAAACAAGTAAAAATCTTACACCAAATCAAGCACCACCATTATCCCCAGATACATTAAGTTTTGAACAACAGAAAAATATTTTAACAGCATTACAGTTTATAGTGTGTCTTACAATCTGTCCAAACTTACAAGAAGGAGTGGGTCTTCCACTGACAGTGAGAACTGAATTTCTTGGCATTTTAGCCACTTTTGTGTCTGAAACAAACAGCAATCCAGAAACAAAAACAAATTTTCAAGAATCACATTGTAAACTTTTGTTATGTGCTAATGTTTTGATATCTTGTCTTGACATTCCTTCTATTGGTGTTCTCATTCTATCAAGACATCTAAATGATTTGCTGGTCATTATTTTGCAATTACGGTTTGGACAACAAATATCAAATAATTCCTTAAAAAAGGAACCAAATGTAGGAGAATTATCAGCAAACAATCCAAACAAGGTACCAGATGATGAAAAATTAGATGAATCAAAAAGCCATTCACCTGATATTGACAAATTATTCACTTTAAAATCTAATGAATTTTGTGATGCAGCATTAAAAAGGATAACAAATGATATCCGTCCATCGATGTTTGTGAAAGAATTGTTGTTACTACAAGGTGGACCCAGAACAAAAAAGGTAAAACATGTTGAATTAATAGGGTTTTTGTTAGGATTTATTTATTTATTTTTTTCTTTCCTTTTCCTATATTATATTAATATCCCCCGCCTTTCGAAGAAAGCAGGGGACTATTAAAATGAAATGAAATGGGGTTTAAAACATCCTACTGTTCTGATCCGACTGGGCTAATGAAGACGGGCATACGCCATGCAGTGTGCAACAAGGGAAATTTTGCCCGGGCAGCAGCCTTATGGCTTACTCGTCTTATAGAATTTCAACTGCCAAGGGATCTTTTACATGGACGCCAATGTATACATGGGACCTCAGATTTTGCTTCAGATTAAGTCAGAGTGATGAAACTTGGTGTAAAGTTTCATGACATCAATACCTTGACTCAGTTCGATAACAAGCGTTTTCGGCTCAGATTAATCATAGTGATAAGCCATTTGGTTGGTGTCAAGACTTTAAAGCTCAACAACTTTAATTCTAATTGAGTGAGAATGATGAAACTTGGGGTATATCTTACATTAGTACCTTGACTAAGTTCCATAATGCACATGATAACTTTGTTTCCAATTGAGTGAGAGTGGAGAAACTTGGTGTATACCGTTAGTTTCATTACATCAAACTCGGAGCATAGTTTTCAGTACATGAATACCTTGACATCAGATCGATGTGAATTATATGTAATTAGTCATTAGACAAAAAGTTACAATCCGATATTAAAATGTTACAGTTTCTAATAGCCAATATCTGGGCAAACTGATATATATATACACAATTTCAGAATTTTGATTTTTATACGCCAACATTTTCATGTGGACGTATGTTGTCGTCACCCCCGTCCATCCGTCCGTCCACAATTTGTTTGTGGACACTCTACAGGTCACAATTTTTATCTGATTTCAACGAAACTTGAAATATAGATCTATCTCTCAACGATCTCGGTTCCTTTCGATATTGGCATGTATCGGATCGAAACTTCATGGATTATGGCCCCCGATTGTACGAAAAATCACGTTTTTAGCTTGTGGACACTCTAGAGGTCACAAATTTGAATAGTGTAAAAATATTGTATATCGAGATTGTGGACCCTCTAGACTAGAGTCGACAGTTTTTATCAGAATGGGATGAAACTTTAAATATATGTTTTTATCATAAAGATCTTGGTTCCTTTTGATAATCACACATATCTGAACGTAACTTGCTGGATTGTGGTTCCTGATTGGTCGAAAAAACGCATTTTTAGCTTGTAGACTCTCAATAGGTCACAATTTTTTATACGCCCACATTTAAGTGTGGTCGTATATTGTCGTCGCCCCCGTCGGTCCGGCGTCCACAATTGCTTGTGGACGCTCTAGAGGCTAAAGTTAATATCCGATTGACTTTAAATTTATACACAGTGTTTAAGATCATATCATGAGACGAAGAAGCCTATTGATTTTCAGCGATTTCCGATAATTACTGCCAGAGTTATGGCCCTTTATCACTTCAAAAAATCTTGTGGATGCTCTAGAGGCCATAGTTAATATCCGATTGATCTTAAATTTATACACAGTGATTAAGGTCATGAGACGAAGAAGCCTATTGATTTTCAGCGATTTCCAATAATTACTACCAGAGTTATGGCCCTTGATCACTTCAAAAAATCTTGTGGACGCTCTAGAGGCCAAAGTTAATAACCGATTGACATTAATTAATACACAGTGTTTAAGGTCATGAGACGAAGAAGCCTATTGATTTTTAGCAATATAATTACTGCCAGAGTTATGGCCCTTGATCACTTCAAAAATCTTGTGGACGCTCTAGATGCCAAAGTTAATATCCAATTGACTTTAAATTTATACACAGTGTTTAAGGTCATGAGACGAAAAAGCCTATTGATTTTCAGCGATTTCCGATAATTACTACCAGAGTTATGGCCCTTGATCACTTAAAAGAATCTTGTGGACGCTCTAGAGGCCAAAGTTCATATCCGATTGACTTTAAATTTATACACAGTGTTTAATCTCATGAGACGAAGAATCCTGTTGATTTTCACTGATTTTCGATAATTAGTAAAAAGAACAATCCTATTGCATTTAAGCAATTTCCGTTTATTACGTCTAGAATTATGGCTCTTTTCACTTTACTGAACCTTGTGAACGCTCCAACACCGAAAGTTGTCGTCGGATCTTTGTGAAATTATATGCATTATTTAGATTAGTGAAACCACGAAGCCTATTGAATTTCATAATTTACAATAATAACTTCTAGAGTTATGGCCTTTGTTTCACTTTGTTAAACCTTGTTAATGCTCGATTGATGAAAGTTATCATCCAATATGTATGAAATTTATATGCATCATTTAAATTTGTGAAACAGAGGTCTATTGAATTTCAGCAATTTCTGTCAATAATTTCTAGAGTTATGGCGAATTGTGAACCTTTGAAGGACAAAAGTGATCATGTGATCTGTATGAAATTTATATGCATTATTTAAAATAGTAAAAAGAAAAAGCCTGTCAAATTTCAACAATTTCTGTAGATTACTTCCAGAGTTGAGATCCTTGTTTCAGTTTGTAGAACCTTTTAAACCCTCAAATGACAAAATTTATAATCTGATCTGTATGGAACTTTCTTGTAAAGGCTCCCAATTACCTACAAAGGAATAAATATGAGACAACCCTTGTCGACCGCTCGGACGATTTAGCTGCTGTGGGTGTATGTTTCGTTGTCTGGCAACCTATCTTCTGTCATGAGATTATGTAACATCGATTCTATTACAGCCAGGATTTCTACCACCTGCTCCAGCATGGTTACGTAATGTTTGTGGAAGTCTATTTAGTGATATATTGCTAAAACCTAATGGTGTATTTCATATTATACATGGTGTTGTGTTAAATGAAGGTTTGTATATTATTTGAAATAGCAAATCTTGTTAATAAATCTACATTAATTAATCCAGTAAACTGGCTAAACTACACTCTCAGAGTTACACATTTAGTCAAAATGTTTACATTCTTAGCAACTGGTCACTTGCTTTTTGTGCCCATTTTTATTCTAGACTACTCGAATATTAGAATGGGACCCAGTTACTTGGTCCCACAGAAAGTTTAATGCTGTAATACATGTATGTTGTGTGATAAACCGGTGACCGGGTCCCACATAATGAATGAATGATATGGGCTTTAAGTTATAGTTTTCTGCGATCGGGCTTATGAAGAAGTGCATACATATACATGCCAACTATTCCGATTTTGTCGGAATCATTCTGATTTTCTGAGTCTAATTCTGAATTCTGATTTTACTCTTTATAATTCCATTTTTTAAAATTTATTGGAAGAAATTTATTATATTTCATTCCTGACCTTTTTGATTGATAAAATCCCTCTCGTTTTATTTTTACATTGACGACTGTCTCGGCATTCTCGCTGTTTGTTGTGAATCTGATGGCGATACTGTTTATCGTAGTATGAGTCGGTAAAACAACGAAAATAGTCGAGAACATGTGTCATGTTTTCCTTATTATTATTAATATAAAATGGAATAAGCTATTATGTCTGGACTAATCAAGATCAAAATGTCATGTGCTTATTTCCGTCATTTGCCGTGTCTAATTTGCATAATTCACGGTAAAATGACGGAAATAGCCGAAAACATGTCTCCAGTTTTCTCGATTATTATTAATATAAAATGGAATAAGCTAATATGTCTGGACTAATCGAGATTAAAATGTCATGTGGTTATTTCGTCATAGGCCGTGCCTAATTTGCATACTTCGCGGATATTATTTGCTTCATGGATATTATTTGCTACGCGGAGCCATTCTCGCATACACTCGTACAGTACACGGCACAGAGTAAAAATACACAGAGTGGCGACTGCTTCATTTGCATACAAAGTAGGTCGGGCACTGCATCTTGGGGTTTGTCTGTAATGTCACTAAACATCACAGAGTAAAAATAACCAAATCTCTTTAATTTCGTAGTTTTATAGTATATTCGGTAACAAAACTACTGAGAATCATCACATACAATCATATGTTAGTTGTGTGTGTGTTTCGCGAATTTATAAAACATGATTCATATTTTTAAAACATGGATAAACGCAGCGTGGGACGGCCCGGACTGAAGTGAAAGATGGCAATAATTGTGATGGTTTACAAATTGGTCTAGACTGTAAATTATTGTCAATTTTTAAAGGTTTTTATTAACTTTAAAACTAATCCACCAAATACTTGTAGTTTCGATTTCTAGATTTGAAAGTAATTTCCATACACCTTAAAATGGGCCATTTGAAAATGTTAAAGTGCAACGTCCTCTTTTGGATAAGGCCTAGCTATTTTACTCAACATCAACATGACTTATTTTTCTCCCAAAGAAGAATTCCTTTGTCTTCTAGAGTTTATAACAAATTCTAATGGTTTTCTGATAATTACTTCATGAGTTGTTACTCTTAATCAGATTTTGGTGTATTATAAATGTTTCATTACCGAAAAAAGTAAAAATATGCGACAACACTTGTTGACTCCCCGTACGATTTAGCTGCTGTGGGCGTATGTTTCGCTGCCTGGCAACCTATCATTAGAACATCTGATACCACATACTATTTATTTGTAAAATTCACATAGCTAATCAAATAACACACTATTTATGGATAACAATTACTATGGTTTATTTCACTGTGACGTTTCAACAAGATTTCACAAGTCGTTATCAAGCATATAACACAAAATTCGGGGGGTTTTTTTTGGGTTTTCTTTGTGTTATAGCTTGATAACGACTTGTGAAATCTTGTTGAAACGTCGCAGTGAAATAAACCAATAGTAATTGTTATCCATAAATAGTGTGTTATTTGACATTGTTCCAATTACTAAATGCCATTTCTAAAATGTATTCACATAGCTAACAATTTTTTGCTGCAAATTTATAAAATGTTAATTGTTGTGAAGGATATTTTATATTCTATAAATCAATTGATGATTTTGAAATTAACATTGTTATTTGATATGGATTGATGATGTGAAATTGAAATTGCTACTAAAAGTAAAAATGAGTTTTGTTTTCTCAGCTAATTTACAGTTGCCACAATCAGCTTTATCTGAATGGAGGAAATTTGATGCAGTTGCTAAGATTATTGCCCACTGTCCAATGAAGTCAACATCTCGTGATGGATATTTTAAAATTATAAGTCCGCAGGTAAAGTTAAACTTTTGCCTCCATTTACTTCCTGGATTATGGATCCTGATTACACAAAAAATCGCTTTTTTTTTCAGCTAGTTATCTGCCCATCTCTTGCAAAATGTGGGTGTATCTTGCATGGCAACCGCTTGTTGATAAACTTTTAGGATGTCATTCAGTACACCCTACTTAACCAGAAACCATCAAAAAAACTTTTCTTACAACTTTTTGGGGTGTTGGCCCCATTTTTTCATAAATTGACCGATCTACAAAGGATTTACTCAAAATAAATCAAAATTAATGTTTCCTATAAATTAACAAATATCTGGGAAAAGGATCAGAGCAATAAGTTTAAAATGTACTTTCACTTTTCAGCAGTGAGTTTTGATTTGCGACAGATGGGACAATGTCATAATATTGTGATGGATGGGACAGATTTGGATAAGAGAATTAATTGAAATGATTAAGTAAATTGGGAGTGTATTTGCACATATCAGACTGTAACTTCCTGGATTGTGGACCTGATTGTATGAAAAATCACGTTTTTAGCTTGTGACCCATCTAGAGGTCACAATTTTTATTTGATTTTAAAAACCGTTCAACTATAACTGTTGCTCCATAATTACGATTGAGTTTGAATTCCGTGAAAATCAGACCCAGACTGTTTGACAAAATGGAAGCTCCCCTTTATGCAGATAAATCAAGGTTATGGACCCTCTAGGAGGTCACAATTTTTATCAGATTTTGATGAAACTTAAAATATAGGTTTATATCCCAAAGATTTTAGTTCTTTTTGTTATTGACGCATTGCAGACCATGGGTGTAAAACTGTTATATTCCCCATCACAAACTGCAAGAAACATAGGAGCCATCTTTGTCTCACATTTTTCAATGGAAAATCATGTTAATAATATTTGTAAGAATGGTCATTATAATCTGTATCAGTAGAATACATAAATATTTATCTATTGATGCTACTACAACTTTAATTCAATCTCTTGTTACATGTATTTCACGTCTTGATTGCTTAAACTCCCTGTTAACTGGTCTACCGGTTAAGCTACTTTCAAAACTACAAAAACTGCAAAATTCTGCAGCACGTCTGGTTACTGGTGTGGGTTATGAGGAATTCTTTATACCCTTCACTGGCTTCCTGTATCATTCAGAATTGATTTTAAAATATTGGTAATCACATACAAATGTCTTAATGGTTTAGCACCTCCATACTTATCCGAATTGATAAAAATCTGCACTCCAGTGAGAAACACAAGTTCTTCTAGTGATGGGAGGTTGGATGGCCGAATGGTTAGCACGTGCGTGCTGTATCATAAGGAGTGTCATTGAGTCAACTGGCGTGGTTTCAAATCTCCGGTTGTACGTGACAAGGAGTAGGGTCCCCTGTCCAACCTCATTGGTTTTCTCCGGGTCCTCCGGTTTCCTCCCACTGCTAAAGACCCCTAAGTGCAAGCAAATTATTGAAATAAAATTAAACCATATGTTAGTCCCGAAATGACCTAGTTTGTGTCGAGTGGATGTTAAACCCCATTTCTCTCTCTCTCTTCTAGTGATGATTTACTGTAAATACAGCCTCGAGCCAGACTAGCATCCTATGGCGAGAGGGCCTTTTCATTTTATGCATCGTTACTTTGAAACAAATTACCGTATTTTATTCGGAAATCACCTTCTATCATTACATTCAAATCGCACTTGAAAACTCATTTATTCAAACAGGCTTTTTACTGATTTTACACATCTGACTGTTTTATGTAGTTAAAGTTTTTATATTGTCGTTCTCTTTTTACTGTTTTTAGGAACTGTTTTTTTTTATTTTGTTATTTTTATAACTTTTCTTTTTTATCATAAATTATCATAAATTGTGAGAGCATTACATTACTGCAGCTCTATCAGTGTGAGGGAAGATACGATTTCTGTTCACTTATAAAAAGGAATTCTACCCATTAAGTTGAATTAATGCTAGCTAAAATAAAATTTGAAAAATGGCTCAATTTCTGGATTTGCCGTTGGCGATTTACAACTATCGTTTGAGTTTGATTTTGATGATAGAACCGACATGTCTGTAGATTAAAATTAGGTCAGTCATGTCAATATACTTAAAATACTTATTACTATTGATACGGATAACCAATTTACGCAAAATGTTTTTTTTTTTTTTTAAAATAATTTAGCATTATATAACAGTTGTCATACTAATTATTATAATTTTAATTCTTTGTATTTTATTTTTAGGGAAATATATATTATTTAACTCTCGTAGTCTCGAGATATTTGTTGCAAGGACCGACAAACGTAAGGCCTACTTTTTAGGCCTTGATTTGATATTTACATTGATGAAAATATAGCCTACAAAATAAAAATGAAGTTGCTCAATAGGCTACATAACGATTTGAAGGAATAATAAAAATATTCAAAAGGGAAATAAAAACAAAACAATTGTTTGACTTTGAGTCAAAATGTAGCTTCCAGGCCTTAGGCCTTTAAAACATGACTACATCATAATCATAGCCTATCACTATAGTATCAGTGAGTATCAGTAACTACTTTTACTGTAGCCTACTCTTTAGAGAATATTTTTTTATTGGTCAATCTTCTGAGTAGAAAATAATATGTCAAAGCAGAATTCTTCTCGTAACAATGATGTAAGCTACCAAGCAAACCAATGCTGAGAACAATGATAGTGAAAACTGTTGTCTTATTTTTTAAAATTATGTAGTTGCTATGGCAATCACCCAAAGTCCATAATATTTCACTACAATAACATGGACAAGAGCATTTTTGATGAAAAAATTGACCAAAATCACGTTGACAAAATGGAATTTTTGAGAAAACCTAGGTAATTTGGAGTTGCTGGGGAAACCAGAGTAATTGTCACACAAATGTGAAAATTAAAACATTATTAGCCTTAAAGTTGTATTTCATGAATTTACACCTACAGTTTTGATAGTTTTGATATGAAATGAAATATGGCATCACAAAAAACACCAAAAATGACTTTTTCAAAGTGTTGAAAAACCTTTCTTCCGCGAAAAGTCAAAAATTGCAACTTTGAGCCTCAATAAAAAAAAAAAATTTCATCCGATTTTGAATCTGTAAAAAGTTTTGTGAGAAGAATGAAGAGATCTACATGGAAAGCTAATAAAATCATATGTATAACCATAATCTCAAAATCACCTTTTCCACCTAATATTATATTATCTGATCAGATGAACTCACCATGAGGAATCCCATGTTCAAATGTGCCATAAATGCAAAAATGTAAAAATATCGAAAATGAAATTTCAATAACTGAATACACATTATTAGAATTGACATTAGATCAGCTATCTAAATATGAAAACCGTTTTTTAAAAATCTGTAAAAATAAAACAATAATAAAGGATTTTCCAAAATTGAACGAATTTTTGCCTTTTTATACGCCCACATTAAAATGTGGTCGTATATTGTCGTCGCCCCCATCAGTCCGTCCGGTGTCCACAATTACTTGTGGACGCTCTAGAGGCTAAAGTTAATATCCAATTGACTTTAAATTTATTCCCAGTGCTTAAGGTCATGTGACGAAGAAGCCTATTGATTTTCAGCGATTTCCGATAATTACTGCCAGAGTTATGGCCCTTAATCACTTCAAAAAATCTTGTGGACACTCTAGAGGCTAAAGTTAATATCCGATTGACTTTAAATTTATACAAAGTTTTTAAGGTCATGAGACGAAGAAGCCTATTGATTTTCCGCAATTTCCGATAATTACTACCAGAGTTATGGCCCTTAATCACTTCAAAATATTTTGTGAATGCTCTGTGACGAAGAAGCCTATTGATTTTCAATGATATCAATGATACCTTGATTGCTTTGAAATGTCATATGATGCTCTAGAGGCTTATGTTATCATCCGATTGACTTCAGATTGATACACAGAGTTAAGGTCTTGAGACGAACAAGTTTATTGATTTTCAATGAATCGGCTAAATCCATGATATTAAATGTTTCTTATGCTAAACGTTAGCATGAGGCAGAACTTTATAAAAACCAAACAAATTTTAATGATTTTCTGATAATTACTTAATGAGTTGTTTCTCTTAATAATATTTTAGTGTATTATAAATGTTTCATTACTGAAAAAAGTAAAAATATGTGACAAACTCTTGTTGACTGCCCGGACGATTTAGCTGCTGTGAGCGTATGTTTAGTTACCTGGCAACCTATCTTTTCGATTTTCGGTCCCTTTTTTCTTTTATTCCAGTTATTTCAAAGTCTACTTGGATGTCTGTGGAGAACTCTGCCGAAGGGACTCTCGATAGAGAAAGTTTAAGAAAAATCGCTGGAGCAGTTTTCGAGATAACGGTGTCAAAAAACGCTCCCTATCAGAAAATACTTGATTTTCAGCATGCCATATTTTGCTACCTGGTCTTAGTATCCGTATGAATTGGGTATCACATGGCAGTGCATTCCTCGGGCCACTCAGCGATACCTTAATTTTTTCAATCCGTTGATATCGGAAGGAGAAATCATGTTTTTGTAAAAAGTATCCAAATTTTAAAAAAAAAAAATTCAAAATATCGGACATTATTTTGACTACTTCCGGTTTACAGATCGTTGTTGGAATATTTTTTTATCGATCGATTGGACCAGATGGCTTTATTTTGCAGAAGTTTCAGAAACATCGATTGATTCATTAAAAAAAATATAAGGGTGCGATAAATCTGAATGAAACTTATATGGCTGGAATCGGATGGCCATCACTCCATCGGGTATCCAAAAATATAGGTCAAATTTAAAATTTTTGAAAAATGACAAAATTGTATCTTAAACAACATTTTTTCATTTTACGAACGTTAAAAGTCAACGACGAAGTTTCGAAATTTAGAAATTTTCAACTGCTATCTTCTCAGAAAAGACACAGGGTTTCCAAAAATGTCATTTGTTTGAAAATTGGTAAAGAATTAACGAAACAACGGCCGTTTTTTAACTTTTTGGCACCATACCAAATTCGGCCACTTCCGGTCTGCGCAGAAGTTTCAAAAATAGTTTATGGAGTAACCACCACATGGTTTCACGATAGAAAATTAGATCCCAGATTGGTATCCCTTACAGGGACTGAGAAATAAGGGTCCATGGTAAATAATAATATTAATTTTAGTAATCACAATAGGCTTTCAGACAAAAACCTAATAATGATCCTAACAAAAACAATAGTGTTTCACACAAGCTACGTAGTGTGAAACCCTCATTATATATGGCATATATCTCACATTTATTGTTTTTAGACCATCTCTTACGGCATTACGGACAGCAGAATTGTGACGTAAATCCTAATAATGAATAACTAAATAACTTACGGATAACTAACTTCACAGCTAATGACACTAGTGCCCCCTTGAATATCGTGTATAAGAGTTACCATGTATACACAACATTTTTGCAACATGTGGAATTATCAATATTGTTACACAATAGCATTGGAATATACATAATTTTCTTAATTTTTCGGTAAGCAAGTTACCTAAGGCTACACAAAATAAATGTCTTGACAGCTGAAACTGTAGGGGGGGAGGGCGGTTTATTTTTTTTTTTTTATCTCATTTCTGGCTAGAGGATGGTGCAAAATAAAATTTGCCTATTGTTGAAAATTGTTGGGGCGGGAGGGCAGCCTTGTATTTTTTTTTTTTTTTTAATAAGAAAGTCATTACTTGTCTACGGTTTTGCTTTCAGTTATATATTATTATATAAACCCAAAAATCAAGTCTACTCAAACACTGAACACTGACTGAAAGGAAAATAATTTTCCATATTTAATTCACGTAATGTAGCTTACTAATGGTAATAGTGACAACCATAATTGAAATTGGTTTAAAATAAAATTCCGTACGACTATTAATAGCCGTCCATAATAACGACAATATTTTAAAGAGTAAGCCTCTGTCAGCATGTGTATCATCATCATCACGGTAAACGACACTTCGATCTAAATCTAGTATCGCTGGTTTATAATCATTGACCTAATTCCAACCAATGTCACGTGTCATCGGGATATGACTGTTTCTCAGGTTATTCGGTGTGTTTCTCAGGATATTCGGTGTTCTATCTGGGGTTTATATCGAATGACTATTTAAATTTAACTAACAACTCGTCAGTAAAACCATCAAATGTGTAATCCAATTATTATTTTCCGGATTATCAAAACTACCGTTAAATGTGCTAATGACCCAGATTCTGACTAAGGTATGGTGACTATCATCGTATCGTATTCGTAGCCACAAGTTATAATAATTAACCTGTTCTACGATTCATTGTTTTATAAGTAGGATTTTTTTAAACATGGACCGACTGAAGCCGGCAATAATGAGCTGATTAAGATCGAATGATTGAAATACATTGCATTGTTGTCAATGACTTTCGGTGTTTAACACGATTCAAATTCTAGTTCACAAGGGGAGGTAATTAAAATCACGTGATACAAAAATGGAGGTTCTTTCGATATCAATAAAAAAGACCCGTAAATGAGCGTTTACATCTGAATCAGTTTAATACATTTGAATGGATATTCACGTATGGGGCATGTAGATACACGCGGCATATTTTTTTTATGACTTGCTTATCGATGTTCGGGCGGGCGTTACATATTTTTTTTTTTTCATCAAGACTAATAAATAGGCCGCACGCGCAACCAATTTTGCGTGCGGGCGGTGCCCGAGAAACAACTTATTTTATTTGTGTTGCCTAATCTCTTAGATTTTATTTCTACAATTCCCACAAGGCCGTAATACCGCTATAAAAATTATAATGCATTTTTCTCCCAACACGTACGTTGTTGAGGATTTATGCAATTTCTATGCTGTTTTTATTTAATATGACAGTTGGTTGGATTTCGAAGAGCAGTACTTCATATCAATTGCCCTTTTTTCGAAGATCATAATAATCTTGTTTACATCAAGGCATGACTGTAATAGCAGTAAATGGCTTTGTTATAGAAAATTCTTATGACATGTGGACAATATGTGATTAACTAAGAATGGACCGCTTTTATGGTTCTAAAACCAGATACTCATCATTAATTATCAACACAACACTCAGTATAATCTGTTGACGACTATGTATACAACACTATCAAACAAATCATGAGATGATGTGACTTCTATTCATGCGCATTCTGCACTCGCCGTACAATTTTATAGTTACATAGTGGAGGTCGATCGTAGCCATGTTAGAAAATTGAGTTTTGAAAAAAAGGCTATTTTCCGGCGTGCAAAATGACCAATGGGTCACATCTATAGTTGCGGTCATTTTCCAAAGCCCTCGATCCCGACCTGCATATACGGCCGACGTGGAACCCATGGTTGTAAATATTTCCATTATTGACAAAAGCAAAAATATGCGACAACCCTTGTTGACTGCTTGGACGACTTAGCTGCTGTGGGTGTATGTTTCATTGTCTAGGAACCTATCTTTATACTTTCATGTGCACTTATTATTCTGTCACCTCTGTCAGTTTGGACGTCTGTGCGTATTTCCAGGCTTTGCTTGAGTCTCTTTAATATATAATGGTATGGCTAAATATTATAGTAGCAAACCACCAAATAGCAATTGTCTTTTAGTATAGGCTATAAATTATGGTCATGTTGGTGGAAATTCAATGATTTGCATTTTTTATACGCCCACATTTTCATGTGGACGTATATTGTCGTCGCCCCTGTCCGTCCGTCCGTCCACAATTGTTTGTGAACAGTCTACAGGTCACAATTTTTATCCAATTTCAATGAAACTTGAAATATAGGTTTATCACCCTAAGATCTCGGTTCCTTTCGATATTGGCATCTATCGGACAGTAACTTCATGGATTATGGCCCCTGATTGTACGAAAAATCACGTTTTTGGCTTGTGAACACTGTAGAGGTCACAACTTTTAACCGATTTTGTTGAAACTTGAAATGTAAGTTTATAACACAAAGATCTCGGTTCCTTTCGATATTCGCGCATATCGGACCGTAACTTCATGAATTATGGCCCCTGATTGTACGCAAAAACGCGTTTTTTGGCTTGTGGACCCTATAGAGGTCATAATTTTTATCCGATTTAAAAAAACGTGTTAATATATCACCGTTACACCCTAAGAAAGGCTGAGTTCGAATTTCGTGAAAATCGGCCCAAAACTGACAGACAAAATGGCCGCCGTTGTTCTCAAATACCGTAAAAATATGGTATATCAAGGTTGTGGACCCTATAGAGATCACAATTTTTATCCGATTTTGTTGAAACTTGAAATGTAAGTTTATAACACAAAGATCTTGGTTCCGTTTGATATTCGCGCATATCGGACCGTAACTTCATAAATTATGGCCCCTGATTGTATGCAAAAACGCGTTTTTTGGCTTGTGCACCCTATAGAGGTCATAATTTTTATCCGATTTAAAAAAACATGTTAATATATCACCGTTACACCATAAGGACACCATAAGGAGTTCAAATTTTGTGAAAATCGGCCCAAAACTGACAGACAAAATGGCCGCGGTTCGTTATCAAATAGCGTAAAAATATGGTATATCAAGGTTGTGGACCCTATAGAGGTCACAATTTTTATCCGATTTTGTTGAAACTTGACATGTAAGTTTATAACCCAAAGATCTCGGTTCCTTTTGATATTCGCGCATATCGGACTGTAACTTCCTGAATTATGGCCCCCTGATTGTACGAAAAATCACGTTTTTAGCTTGTGGACCCTATAGAGGTCATAATTATTATCCGATTTAAAAAATCATATTATTATATCACTGTTACACCCTAAGGACGTCTGAGTGTGAATTTCGTGAAAATCGGCCCAAAACTGACAGACAAAATGTCCGCCTCTCGTTCTCAAATAGCGTAAAAATATGGTATATCAAGGTTGTGGACCCTATAGATGTCACAATTTTTATCCGATTTTGTTGAAACTTGAAATTTAAGTATAAAACTCAAAGATCTTGGTTCTTTTCGATATTTGCGCATATCGAATTGTAATTTCCTGAATTATGGCCCTTGATTGTAGGAAAAATCACTTTCGTTTTAGCTTGTTTTCTATCCATCTCTGGAAAATGTGGGCGTATCCTGCCTGGCAGCCGCTGGTATAATTGCGGTATTGACTGGTTTGTTATAAAAATTGGTGGTTTCTAATAATAACATGTAGAAATGGATACCTGCAATTTGTAAAGCTATTGTATCGTGTTTGTATTTCAGGTTGTAAGTTTATTACATACCACAGGTGATGAGAAGAATAGTATATATTTACGTGTATGTTATAATGTAATAAAAGAGATGTATTTACACAATCAACAAATTACCCACCAGTATATAATAAAACCTATAATACAACCATTACTTCACTGTTTAAATGGTAACTATGCAAACTTTCACCAGCTTTAACAACACAGTTTTTCATACAAAAACATTGGATAGTTTTAGTAGCTTAATATGTTAAGCAGATACACAATTACAAATGGATGTTTTATAGGAAGCATAAATTACAGGCACTTATAGTTTGTACATACTTGCACTCAGGCCTCTCTAGTGCAGGATTCTGATGTTACCTAACTGGGTATTTTATTTAATTTACTAATTTATGAAGGATGAAGAGAATTTTAACACAGTGTTTCAGGCCATGAGACGAAGAAGCCTATTGATTTTCAATGTATTGTGATAATAATGAGCACTTTGAAAAATCTTGTGGACACTCGTAATATGATAGAAATGAAATCATAATATCTGAAATATACTATTCAAAAAAAGTAGGGGATATTTGATTTTGGGGGCATAATACTAAAATATGCAAATGACTACGAAAAAAGTCACTATAGAACCTAACAGAAGAAACATTTCCAGTTACATGTGACGCCCAAACGCACCAATAGCTACCGCATGGAATGCAGGTGATGCTTGGGATCATCATGGGGGTCCAACCCAAGATTTGCACGACTCTGACTTTGAATGTTACAGTCATTGTGGCATTGAATTCCAGGGTGGAAACATCAGTTTAATTGTTTTAGTGACCAGAAAACAAATTTTGATATGCGTCGGCTTACCCAAAATGAAAGGTTACGTGCCCTTGGCATGCTACAGATCGGCACAACACAGGCGGTTGTGGCGCGGACGATGAATGTTTCTCAGTCTGTCATAAGCAGGCTATGGTCCAGATACCGTGATACACAATCTGTACAGGACAGACCACGCTCAGGTCGACCAAGGGCGACAACTCAAGCCCAGGATCGATTTATCCGTACCTTGGCCTTGAGAAATCGTGTCATCACAGCAAATCAGATCAGCGCTCGTCTTCAAACAGACACTGGTGTGAGAGTGAGTGGCCAGACGATTCGGAATCGACTGCATAGGGGTCACCTTCGCGCCCGACGTCCTCGCGTGATGCCTTGTTTGAGAGATCATCACATTCAGGCAAGACGTCGTTGGTGTAGGGATCGTCAACACTGGGATAATCGACGCTGGAGCAATGTGATGTTTTCAGATGAGTCAAGGTTCACTGTTGATTTTTTGGACAGACGTAGGAGGGTGTGGCGTCGTCGAAACGAGCGCTTCCAAGACGTTAACGTCATCAGACATGATCGATTTGGGGGTGGTTCTGTTATGGTGTGGGGAGGCATCACTGTTGCTGGAAGAACGGCTTTACATGTTGTTGCAGGGCGTGTTACAGGCCAGTACTACCGGGACAACATCTTGGCAGTCCATGTTGTGCCGTTCGCACGACGTCATGGCCGCCGTTTCATCTTCCAGGATGACAACGCAAGATGTCACAGGGCCAGGATCGTTACAGGTTACCTCCAACAACAGAACATCACCACATTACCTTGGCCAGCACTGAGTCCCGACCTCTCCCCCATCGAGCATGTCTGGGACATGCTTGGACAGAGGTTACGTCAACGTCAACAACGTCCTGCCAATGTCCAAGAACTTGCTGCTGCGTTGCAACAGGAATGGGACAATCTGGACCAAAATGACCTTAGACGTCTCATTAGGAGTATGCCACGTCGGATCAATGCTTGTTTGGCAAACAGAGGAGGATTTACCCGTTACTGACTTGGTTGTGATGCTGTGGTAACTTTGCTGTTTGACCCCGGGTATCATTTTACCCTTATAATGGTCAGTCTGTGCCTTACTTAGTCTAACGATCATTTGGAATAAAGCGATGAATGTGAACTTCATTTCATTTTGTCATTTGTTTCTTCGTCAGTTTCATTAGGTGACTTTAATAACACTTAAAAATCAAATATCCCCTACTTTTTTTGAATAGTATAGAATAGTTTGTGATGCCACAAGGGATTTCTATCTACACCACATGGGCTTGAATGACAACACAAGCTGACCAGAAATAAGACTACTTTTTATAATAACCACAATTGATATTGGCATGGCTCCCGTCAAAAGGCAAAACCTAGTAACTCACTTTTTTCTTATTTTGAGAAAACAAAGGAAAACGTAATGAATGAAAATTAAACGCCAGCTCATCCATTGATTTGACTATTGAGTTACTAGGTTTTGCTGTGGTATACTAGGCAAATGAAGGAAGTTGCTAGGTTTTGTCATGGGTGTAACTGCTTACAAAATCAAAAGATTGGAATATCTAGTACAACAACAGGAGGCACATACCCTAGTAACTACAAATTTGGTCCTAACTCAATTTTGATAAAATAAAAGTGAGTTACTAAGTTTTGCCTTTTGACAGGAGATGGATGGCAAGGATACAACATGTATCATGTCTGATTGATCTACGTGATCGATAACACATCATTCACAATCATATCAATCCTATAGTTTTGTAATAAGCACTGCGTGATATGCAATGATATTCTTTGCGAAATCGAGATCGTGGGAAGGTGCCACTGTAGATGGGAATTTCTATATGGAATCTTAAAAGACTCCATATATGGATACATTTTGCGTATATGTATGGGATATTTTGTTTTCAGTGAATGGAAAATAGTTTGTAATGGCAAATGTGTTGCCAGGTGTGACCACGTAGCATTGTCACATTTTTATGGTAGAGGACTAGGCAGTAGATAAGAATCAAAGCGTTTTGAAAGTTATAATGACTGTCCATTCGTTGTAGGGTTTTATGCCTTGGGTGATATCGCAGACAAATGACTGTCCGTTGTTATACTATTAGGATATGTGACATCTATGACTGAACTATATGCTGTCAGCTGACATCCAGGAGATTTAAATGACTGACAGTGGAGAAACCACAAGGTAATCACGTAGATTAAGTTTATAATCACTCTTATTGGATAGATACATAGTCCGACAAAGGAGTAGCAATGACGTCTGTTAAAGATTGGATTGATGAATTGTCTGACAAAGGATTAAGTCTGTCAATCAAGGCAGATTAAGTATTTAATCAAGGTAGGTGTATAGAAGGTATAACACAATAAATACGTTGATCACTTAATTACCTAATCAATCCAGCCTATTATCGACGATAATCGGGATGAGTAATATAGTATACCCAGTACAGCCAAATAACTTTGGAATTTGAATATTATTAACCCAATCTAATTAAAGTACAGATCTATATTTCATTCCGTTTTCTAATACCGGTACTTTCAATGGCCTACACTACATGACGATCTGACCAGTTGTACTGGGAGGTTGCGTCAGGTGTCATATGAGCGGCTTTTGACCCTATGATGCCAGACCCTATGACGTCAGACATTGTTTAATCAATCAGCGTTCCCGTTTCTAGTCTAGGGGTTTACCCACAGTTCCGTGCAGAGCATTCCAAGAACTCACCATAACTATAACAGACCATTTCTTTGGCTAATTCTTCGCATCAACTAGATCACCTATTTTGAACTATGAAAAATCGAATTCTAACTGCCAAGGTTCTGCTAGAGTCATATAACTTTGCAGTTTTACATAATATTCTTAGGAGTTCACCCAACAACCACTGGTCCACTTAACATGGTATAACCCAGTAACAATCCATTATAAAGCAATTCTCAAAAATAATAAAAATTCAATTGGCTACTTGTTCTTCATGATACTATTATTTATTATACAAAACAATTAGGTGGTGAATTTAGCAGTTCAATAGCCTTCTTCGAATAAACAATGAACTAACTTTCTCTAGCGGTGTTGAGTAATTTTAGTCTGTTAATTACAACACCTTTTAGGAAAGTAAACAGATGTAAACCCAACACTCATTATCTAATCTAGATGGACCATTTTAAACTATGCAACAACGGAAACCAAATAGTTTTAACAATTTGGCAACAATGGTTTGAAACTAAACATTAAATACAAAAACTCCTGCTAAAACAGCACAACTACATGATGCCTGAGCTGTAGTGATTCAGCCACTCGTGTCAACAAGATTTTTAAAGTGAACAAGGACAATAACTCATCTCATGACCTTAAACACAATGTATAAATTCAAAGTCAACTGGATGATAACTTTAGAGTGTCCACAAGATTTTTCAAAGTGATCAAGGGCCATAATTATCAGAAAACATTGAAAATGAATAGGCGTCTTCTCGTCACATGACCTTAAACACTGTGTTAAAATTCCCATCTTCCTTCATAAATTAGTAAATTAAATAAAATACCTAGTTGGGTGACATCATAATCCTGCAATAGAGAGGTTGAGTGCAAGTATGTAATTTATGCTTCCTATAATACATGCATTTAGAATTGTGTATCTGCTGGACATATTAAAGGGCCAATCCTGATAATTTTTTGGAGAATAAAACTGCTTAATTTTGTGTTAAAATCTTCTACCTAAGGGCCGAACAACTAACTCAATATTTGTGATACGTTTTCAAGCAACTTAAACCCGGTGTACCAATGCGGTGACTGGATAAAACCAGACTTTTATTGTATAAAAATAATGTGTAGGTGAAATTTACCTTTCGTTGTCAAGTACAGATCACCCAATGAAAACATTGACCCCAAATCTTAAAAGGGTTACATGTCCGGATAAGGAGTTTTGGCTTTGAGACGAGGTAAATGCACCATTCCTCTATATTTTGGCGCTTAAATTTCATACGTACTCAGACTTTTATTTTTGAGTCTCTATTCAAATCGGGATAGTCCCTTTAAGTGGGGCTTATGTCAACTTTGCAACTGGGAGCAATGCTTTCAACCAGTTGCAAGAGTGCTTATGTCGATGAAATCAGCAACCGAGGGCAACTGAATTGTGAGTGCTCGTGTCAACTGATAGTGACTGTTAAAGGGACAATGTCACTCTTGCTGTAACTACATAAAATGTCAACAAATTGTACTATTTTACTATATTCGAATTCATTGATGCTAAGATGCCACCTCACTATTGACAGCTTGCTTCTCGCTATGATAGATATGACTGACAGTTTTAGAAAGCATAAACTGCTA